CTGGAAACCTCAACACCGCTTCAAACAGCATTTCGAAGTTGGGATCTATATGAAAATCCCGGCCTACCAAATAGTAAATAACAAGCCTGTACCGTGAAAACTTCATCGCAGACAGAGAGCCCAAAATTTGTAATTGTGGCTTTTAAACCTTTTTATTCTTGAAATGAGATCCCCTGTCACTTTGTAAAATGTTAGGAGGCCCACTAAAGTCAACTAATTCAATTGTAGTCTGAACATTGGCATTAGACACAGCCTTAGTAAAAACAATTTTAGTAAAATTGCAAGTAGCAACAATTAAATATTGTTTTCCCCTAGATGTTACTAATAATCCTAAAAAATCAATACAGAATTTGGAAGCTAGCCTTAAGCTTTCTAAAGGAATTGACTGTATTAAGCCAGCAGGTCTACTCGCCGGATTTTTTAAAAATTGGTATGATGTACAAGTTTAATCAGTGTATTTTATCATATTTGGCCTATAATATGTTTGTTTTAATTTATGTAGGGTTTTATTCATTCCAAAGTTTGCACTGAGTACAGATTCGTGATAAGCTTTTAACAAATTGTTAATTAAGTTCTTTGAAATAAGTAAAAAAAATTTAATGTTCAAGAGCCAAATATTTAAAAAAAATTGTCATATAAATATTGCAGACCATTTAAAATTATTGAAAAGACTACTGATCTTTTGTCAATCATAACAATTAGTGTGCATGCTGGCTAGTTTTTGGGCTTAACCGTCCTTTAGTAGATATAGTGAAAAAGTAGTTGTGCTGGTGGCTGACAAGGAGCTTTGCCTCAGTCTGCTACTTTTGAACTAGATCGTGCTCACGGGTCTAAACTCTACCCCTTTAGTAGTTCACTAATTGGAAGAATTAGGGCTAACCAGCGTATTCAACAGAAGAACTCAAGTCTAAACTTAAAAGAAAATATTTTCTACACCAAGATCATTAAGAAGAATCAGAACTGTAAGTGACACTTAAATTAAATAATTAACTTTTCATAAATACATTCTTTTCAATAATATATATAACAATAACAATAATCACCAAAAAATCTTAATATAGTTCATTCATGTAATCAGATATATGAAGTCAAAACATAGTGGACAACAAAATATATCAAATGCACTAAAGAGATTCTATGTAACAAATGTCGGGTACAACAGATTAGGTATAACAATTATCACTTAATAGATAACCAAAATATTTGGGAAAGTGATGTAGAAAATTACTTTAAACACAAACCAATAGCTTGGTTAAGTGAGCGACTTGCTCACTATTCAAAATATGACATAGAGTTTCAACTAATACTAGCTTACAACCGTACACACCGGGTAGGTATGTGCAGTGATTGGGGTCATGCCGAATGGTTGAGAGTAATAGCTAACAAAAGTGTAACAATGTCACCAAAGAGAATCAGCACAAACTATTGGATTAATTTAATCTACATAGTCTTAGAAATCGGCGCTGTCACAGACTTTTCTGAGATTCAAATTTTAGACAACTATGATGTAGAAATACAAAACAATAAAATTAACAACTCGGTTGATGAGGATTACATTTGGTATTCAGATTCACAACGTGACTTTAAAAAAGTCACTGTAAAACATCACCTTATAATTGAGAGTACTAGTATAAATTAATATCATTATAAATTTGAAAAAAATTAAGACGTTAATAACACCATAAGATATATTAAAGATTGTTTTGAGGATCAATATCCCAAACACCATAGTAATTTTCCTGAAGTCATTGCCATTCCTGAAGAAGAATGGTAAATAACAAAATTTTATTTAAATATAATTTTAGATATAAAAAAAAATTTTTTATTCAATATTATTTTAACATTAAAAAAAAACAATTTTTACTATAATTTTAATATTATTATTTTTAAATACAACTAACTTTAGATCTAGAAATTTTTATATTACATATAATTTTGATATTTTAATTTTAGATTTAAAAATTGTTTAATCAATATAATTTTAATATTTTTACCTTTAGATTTAAAATTTTTATATAATTTCCACAATTACAAAAAACCTAAAAAAGGTATTTAATTTTATCCTAACCATAAATTTTTACTCTTAGATTCAATTAATTTTAGATTTAGAACTTCTACTTAATATAACTCTATAATTATTTATAATGTACATTCTTTTTACATATTTTTACCCCTACTAATTAAATTTTAGATTTAAAATTTTTTTATATAATTTTTATAACTATAAAAAAAACAAAAAAATAATAATAATTTTTTTTTATATGTCCCGACCATAATTTTGTAATTCTAGATTTAATTAACTTTAGATTAAGAACTTTTAGATTTGATATAAAGTTGTAATCAAGAGCAAGCTGTAAGGGTTTCCAGAATTGAAGGAATTATAATATTAAAAATTATTAAATATAATAAAGTAATATTAGATCCTTATAAAAATATTTAGTTAAAAATAAAAATAAATATAACTAATTTTGGGTAAAAATATTTAAAAATCATCTAGGAAAAATTTTAGCTATAAAAGGTAATATCTATGAGAAAAACTTAGTTCCAGGAACAAAATATTTACATATGCTAATGCAGGTTCCATGTGAGAGAATAATGACTAAGATCTCCTGTTTTTTAGGAAAAATAGACTTTTTATAATCCGCAAGACAGGTTTAGTAATTCCTCTTATATTTTATTGAATTTGATTAGTCAATGTAATTGGATCTTTTTCGTGGAGGTTTCATGGATGAATGTGATTGATATTTTTGTAAGAAAAGGAATAATTTTTTCTTTATTTATCATATCCACGAGGAACACTGATTTAGTGATATATTTTTATTAAGTACATGTATTAATTATCACATGCGTAATAAATTTTACTAAATATGTTTTTTTTATATAAATTCAATAACAAAAATTTGTATTTTTATTAAAATAACTATATCCATTACGAATTTGAAAAAACATAAAATTTAATACTTGTAACATGTACATATGATCATAGCATTAAATAATTTTACGTTGTTTAGCTCTATTTAATTTATTTGACTTAATCAAATATAACTTAGTTGATAGCTGTAAATGTATAGTTTTTAATTAATTATAAAAAATATAACTCTAAAAATATATTCTTCCTTCTGCCTAGTTATAAAAATTTTAATAACTTAGAAATAGTCAGAAAAATATATGATGAATTATTGTTTTTGTGACCTTGAAAAATCGAATGACTGAATTTAACAGTCTTATATTATTTTTAGTTGTATTTTTATACAAAAATTAATGTTGTTAGCTATTTTTAAATCTTTTACAATGAAGACTAACATATATTTTGAGTATGAAAAGTAACATTTGCAATATTTTTATTTTATTTTTAACAAACAAAACTATGGTCTTGGCTTTATAATCACTATATAATAATATCTAGTTACAGCCTAACAGTTCTATACACTTTTTAATGATGGAGATAATTTCATTTCAAACTATATATTTGTTTTATTTAATACATATTTTGTATTGTACAGTAGCGAAACCATTAGGTTCATATGATAAAAAAGAAATCGAGGTAATATTATTTTTTTTTCAAAAATGAGATTTGTGAGGTTAAATTATTATTGTATATATATATATATACAGTTGAAAGATATTTTTACTTAGAGATGATTAAATTTTAATAATTACATTGAATTTTGGTAAGAAATAATAGTTCTAATATTATAGTCAACTTAATAAAATTTATTAATTTTAAATAATCTAATTGACTTTTATATCAATTTTTGGTAAAAGGTTTTAATTTACTCGTCAATTTGATATACTGTGTTAATATGTGTAAATACTTAATATTTTAAAGATAAATGATCAAAAAGATTAAAAACTTTCATTTTATAACAACAAACATACATTCTTTTTATGAGGACATTTTTCTAATTTTGTTGTCATTTACTGATGTAAATTAAGTGTTTAATGTAACAAATAATCTAACAAAAATAAAAATATCGTTATTTTTTTTAAGGAATTGAAAAGATTACAGAATAGAGTTATGAATGCTTGCAAATATGCTCCAGGTAATTATAAAGTAATTCCTAAATTATTATAATCTCATCTGATTAGGAAGCAGTAAGTTAAACTAAGATAAAATGGACTGTACACGACATCTTATCAGGTGATCTGAACCACCATTCGGAAATGGTTGTCTCCTNATTAAAGTGCGCATGCGCACTATAACTTCATGTCAGTGGTGGGGTAGGTAGGGATATGGTTGTCTCCTCCTACGATGTCATCTACTGGAGGGTAAGGTAAACCTCATGTGAACTGATAAACGTACGTGTAAACATACACATTACATTGAAATAATGTACGTCAAATAATGGCCGCCGTTGCCACTTTAACATATTTACTTAATATTAACGCTACGTCTCCGTCAACAATTCCTATACAGGAAAGGGGTAATGAATCTTGACATAAACTAACCTATAATGGNCTACGACTCTGTCAACAATTCCTATACAGGAAACATAACATAAACTAACCTATAATGGGTGGGGATGAATCCAACTATATTATTATTACTGCTATATTATAATGCTCATAGACGTCAGCATTTTATGAGAACAATGACAATGTTTGTCGTTATGGCATAATTTCTAAGAATTTTATCATCAGTTACCAGACGCATAGCTAAGCATATTTCCAACATCAAAGGTACCGCCATATTATAACTCACATTACCGTCTACAATTTATAAGAACAAAGACAACTCTGTCGTTTTGGCATAATAAATTCTAAGAAATTTATCATGGGTACCCAGACGCTTAGCTAAGCATATTTCCAACATCAAAGGTACCGCCATATTATAACGTTCATAGGCGTCTGCATTTTTATTTTTTTTTTTACATAGTAATTTATCATTGCCTACTAGATGCTTAGCTAAGCATATTCTCAAAATCAATGGTATTACTATATTATAACATGTCTGCATTTCTATGAATTTTTATCATCAGCTACCAGACACTTAGGTAAGCATATTTCAAACATCAAAGATGTCGCCGTACAGTAATAATCATTGTCGGCTATATTTTATGACAAAAAATGATATCGTTCATCGTTTTTTCACGCCTACACATTATATTATTTTACTATATAACCGGTTTAATGTTCTGTTCCCTGTCATATACTTCTTTAATTGATGTATGATTTATACATGGATGTTATGGAGATGACAAATGAAGAATTCTTGTTCATATTGAACAACATCAAAACAGAACCAACTTGTAAGTACTTTGTTTTACTTAATTATAATAAAAAAAACTCTGTTTATTTTTTTTTAAAGAAAACCTTTTTTTTTTTTTGTATGTAAATATATATATTATATAAATATTATATGAGGAAAAAAAAAATATATGTTTTACTCTACTTTAGCTGAAGATGATCAAGACTATTTGATTGAAAATGAAATATCTTCTTCTTCAGAAGAAGAGATTGGAGAAGAAGAAATAGTTTCGAGTAAGTATAACATATAAAATAACTAACACAGATATTAGATAATTAATTATTTTCTTTATAAATTATTCAAATTTAGATACATTAATAAATAATACAAAGATAGAAGAGCACTATAAATATGCCATGATAAAAAAAATATTCTTAAAAGATGGACGATATTGTAAGTATCAATAAAGTATAACCGATATATATAAAAATTTAAAATAAATAATTTTCTGCTTAGATCCTTACAAGAAGAAACCTATTGGTGTAGTTCGGGCGTTAATTAGGTTTAGACCTAATGGACGCTTTTGGGGTAAACAAAAAATTCGGAATTCCGTATAAGCCTACTTCACAAGGTCAGGTGGAGAGGCAAAATCAAACAATTATAGACATGATATCACATTACGTTCAGGATAACAATAAGTGGGTAGATTATTTACCATACGTTGTATATGCCTATAACACTTCAATACATTCGGTTACAAATTATACGCCGTTTTATTTAGTTCATGGCTATAATCCTAAGAGCATGTTTGATATTGCACTAATTCCCCCTTCCGATGGGATCGTTATCGATGAAATTAATAAAATCAAACATATTAAAAAAACATTACCCCAATTATTAGAGAAACAATCAGAACAGACTAAACAAAAAATTTTATCATCGAATAATTTTCAATGGTTTAAAGCGGGAGACTCAGTCTTAGTCAAAGTTTCAGTAAAGGGTAATAAATTTTCAGATAGGTATGAAGGCCCTTATGTTATTTTAAAGAAAATAGGTCCATATAGTTATTTAATAAATCTGCCAGAAAACAATATTTTGGTCGAGTCGACTGTTCACGTAGACCAGTTAAAACCGTTTACTTCTAGAATATAAAATCCCATCGAATCTTTAAAATATTAGAAAGGAAAAGTAGCACAGGAAAGTATGAAAAAAATTTAATATTTTGGCCACGACGTAGGCATAACGATACACTTTGTAATATGTATTACAATTGGAATGAAACTATATAAGCACGGTATGGTTTAGGGGCTCGGATAAGCCACTTCTAATAGTCGAAAAAAAATAAACTTGGTTCAAACAGATAAGTAGTCTCTTACATTTTTATTATTCTTTATTTTCTGTCATTTAAATAACCATTCTGATAGGTAGTATTGCGTATTTAAAATACTATGTCTAAAAGCATACGTAAACAAATATAATAATTTTGAACGAAAGGCGTTATGCCTACTCTCCCATATAATTAGTTTTGCTGCGACAACGATCACCGATGCTCACTGAGATTTAAATTAATGTAAAATTAGTGTAATGTAAATGTAAATTAATGTAAAATAGTGAGTTTTCTGAGGACATTATTAATTTCAATTTTATACAAGTTACATAAATACAATTGATACTTTAAGTGTCGTGCAACCAATGGGCTCCATTATTTGATAATATTTAATTGGATTACTCAGGTATAAAAATTTATTACAATGACCTTAATGAAAATTTTTTTGATAATACTAACAATTTTTTATCCCCGTGGCGACCGTAAAAAGATTTTTTTAAACCCTCATTGATTCTTTAGGCATATATTTTGAAACCCTAGACACAATTCAGTTTTCAAAAGACACTTATAAATTACTTATATTTGTAGATCTCATAAATTATGAATCTAAATTTTCGCAAATACATTCAATTAATTACCAGCTAGGAATAATTTGTAACGATCATAATAGTTCGAAAAGTGTTTCATTAATATACCAAGATTATGACAATCTGAATAAATATAACATTTTAGAAATGGATAGGCACTATCATAATTTATTGCAACTCAAATATAGAAGATCTAGACGGGTACTAATTAATATAATTTGGAATTTTAATATATATGTATTTGGTAACCTTAACGAGGACGATCTTAACGACATTAACAACCATCTAAACAATAACTCGGACCAACTAGCCCAAGCATTGAATCTACAAAAGCATCAGACAATTATTATGCAATATTATACAAACTTTCAGTGGTATATTGCAAAATAATACATTAAATTTAAAGCATAGCATTAACTCTTTGATCGACACACAAAATAATATTACTTCGAAAATTTCCGAGCTAGAAATCGAACAATCACCACAGCAATATTTCGCTATTTTAAACCTAATCATTTCAGAATTCAACTTAGAAACTAACAACCTCATTTCAGCAATATCCATTGCACGCCATGGCCAAATTCATCTAAATGTGCTAGACCCTGTTACCTTAATCTCTCAATTACAGTTTATAGAACGAAGCCTTCCAAATAATAAGCAACTTTCGATACAAATTAAAGACATTAATAATATTTTTAATTTAGTCAATCTCACAAAATTATCAATCGCGTTTTTGGATAACAAACTAATTTATAAAATTTCGATACCCATATGCGACATAGTAAAGTATAACTTATTCCAAACAATACCTTTACCCATCTATATTGATAAAGATCAATTAGTTTTAATCCAGCCGACTTATCAATTTATAGCCGTTTCCACAGATAACGAGACTTTCATTCCATTTTCGGAAAAAAAATTGGCCGATTGTCTTACAAATAAATTCTTTACAATTTGCGAATTTCCGCCGATATCAAACCGCAAACGCCTAAATAACTGCGAGACGCTTATTTATTTAAAGCCGCATATTATTTCTGAAATATGTGATATCAAACAAATTTCCTCAAAATTCGAAATCTTCCATATAATACACTCACACAATGCGTGGATTTATATGACACCTGGTTCTATCGAAATAACTATAATATGCGGTGAAAATTCATATACAGTAGAATTAATGAAGACCGAAATTTTAACGCTAAACGCGGGGCGTTTAGTTTATACACCTAACAAAATTCTTGCGACACGTATATTCGTTAAACAATCATTCCAAACAAAGTTTGTGCCCCCATTAACATTATCAAACAATAGTTTGTTTTTACCGAAATTTAATAAAATCAATAATTCGCCGGCTATCATAAAACTCAACATAATCCCCATTGTATGGGATTACATGAATTAGGGAAATATTCAGAAAATTTGTATGACGTCATTAAAACTATCGAGATCACGGAAAAAACAATAGAATTTGAGAATGCAATTAAAAACAATCAAATAATTTTCCTCATTATCCTGTTTCTTGTCGGATATGTGCATTTATACCTTATAGCGAGATATATTTGGGACAAATGCAGGCATTCCCCCCACATGGAGCCTCCAGTGGTTTACTTTACGTGCGGTAAACGATCTATTCGCTAAAATCTTAACCGTTTTTTCCCCACTATTTTGTATATTATAAATTCAGATTTTCACCAAATAAAATTCTACTCTAAGCACTCAAAACATTTTACGATTATCCTATAGCTATGGACATATTTTACAACGGTAAGCTCCTCCTCGCCAACTGTTCCATCGAAGAATTCTTTTACTCCTCGCCCACTGTGCCAGCAGTGACTTCGAGAACCAATGGAGTATGTCTCGAGGATTAGCCACATTATTTTGTTATCACTTTGGTTATCAGTTTGTTAGACATAATATTGTGTTAACTATGCTAACCAAATCACGCTACAACAGTAAACCATACTTAGGAGATTATTCAAATGCTATATCAGAATTGGCAAACTTCCTCACCCACAACGACATATAGCATATTACAATCCCTCCCATAGGTATGAATAGGGTTAACATTCCGGTTACATTCGGATTGACATGTATCACCGAAATCCTTGTAGGAAGAGGCGTTTCCGTGTACCTATGTGCTATGGGACGACTACATTATGAGATTAAAGCATATCTTGCATACCTGTAATTTTGTTATTATTTTTATTCAATAAATATTTTTATAAATATACAAATTTACATACACATTGAATTCTAATTATTTTTGATAACTCATTTCCACACTTTTCCAGTCATAGTTTAATAAAATAAGTCATTTAGGTACTTGTTAACTAGGTCAATTATTAACCTCTATAGTGTATATGTTGCATTAGGGAAAAGAAGAAAAAGCTGTGTATGGTATTTATAGATTTGGCAAAAGCGTATAATAGAGTACCGAGAGAAGTTCTAAAGTGGGCATTAATGAGAAAAGGAGTCCCAAAAAGGTACATTAATATAATAGAAGATATGTATGATGGCACTTGTACCAGGGTAAAAAGCGTAGGAGGAGTATCAGAGGTTTTCGGGTAAGAGTAAAAGTGCATCAAGGTTCTTCTTTACGCCCTTACTTATTCTCTAATAAAGCGAGCCAGTTAATATTATTAAAAAAATGTATTTCTTTGTAAAATCAATTCAACATGCACGTTTAACATATACATTAACAAGTTAACTAAGTTGTTACAGCAAAGAAAAGCGTGGTCTTTTAAACAGCCGTTATCATGGCTGCCCTTATTGTAGTATAATTTTTATAAAATAATAGTCCCGCAACTAAGGCGCAAGTCAGCCTAATTCAAAATACACTTTTGTGTATATTTTTTTTTATTTATATAAAGGGGAGCAGCTGATACGATCACATTTGCATGTGACCATATCTCTGTCTCTCATAACATCACTGTACCGTTGATTAGACATATATATATAATTGACACAGTGTCATACAACAATACTAACAGGAGGGCGGACTGCACACATAAACACTTTTGAAATTCACGGCCAATGTGCCATAATAATATATTACTATTAACAGTTGACCTTTTACCATCATCACGACCACTACTCTTGTCTTATAATTAATTTATCTACCACGTATATAGTGTGTGTGTGTGTGTCGCCCTCAGCTCCCTGTTGGATTGATATCATCTCTAGGTGTCCAGCAGATTGTATTATCTATTTAACATTTCAATCACTTAATAAATATTTATATCGTTGTTAACCAAGAGTGTTATATATATATTGTAGTGCGACCCTTGGTAGTTCCTCTAAGGGAATATAAAATAAATAGGAAACCTCAGTACCTAAGGTAGATATAGCCTAGGCAGCTATCCTTCATTGGTCCCTTAGAATACTTAGATGTTGAGAGTATTCATATATTAATACTTTAATATAAGTATATTGTACAAACATAAAATATTATTAAAATTAATGTTAGTAAAACTTAACTAAAATAAAAATATATATGTGTATATACATTAAAAGATTATTTAATCGTAATTTAAAATGATACAATAAAGGCGACCTGTATATACACGGATGGCAGTGACTTGGTTTACGGCAAAATTGTATGTCTTGTTAATGACAGGAAAACGACGATTAACCTTGTCCAAAAGTTAGTGTGTTTTGAGTATAGTGTTTTATAGGTAAAGAACCAATTTGCAAAATTATGAGTGTATATACACCCTTTTGCGATAGTTCAAAAAGAACACAAAATAAAAAAAAAGAAACGATAATATACCGTTCAGTTTGGTATCAACGATACTCGAGCGAGCGTTTAATTGCGAATGAATAATAATGACTCGTTTTAACGAGGCACGTGGAACTCGTCTAATTATTTTTACCAGCGGTCAATCACATATTGATGGGGCGGTCACAACAAAGACACCATATGACTGTGTACGCAA